TTAATTTCGTTAATAAATTAAGAAACAAAGCGTTATCTTTACTTCAAAAATTATATTCTTTACTTAAACAAAAATATCTCTTGATTATATCAGTGGATTATATCAGTAGATCCTATATCTTTCTCAAGTTCTATTACTTGCATCCTTACTAATAACTTTGTACATCCGTGTAATATTAATCAACAATAATTACTTTTATTACGGTTATACAAAGTTCGAATATTTATTTTTATACATCCGTTAACACAACGCTTGAAATTGAATTTTTAATATCTTCTCAGCTATAGTTTCAAACACGTAGTAGGTGTTAATTAAAAAAAGGAAGAAAATATGAATTACACGATTGAAGAGTCCTCTTTTTTTTTTTTTTTTTTTAGTCGATCGGTTTTTACAACGGCAAGTGGCGCAATTATTGGTGCTTCGCGTCAATGCTGGTACTTGGGCTTAATTGTTCGTTAATTAACTGCGAGAAATTAATTAATACTTCATTCACCTCGTTACAAAGTTGTTAATGCGGACAAGTTATTCGGTATGCATTCCATTGAATCCGTATCCTATTCCCGTCACGTTAACACGAGCTTATCGAAATTCTAATTCTTCTTCTCGTTATTATTGTTACATAATTGTGTCAAAATTGAGAGATTTAATTTAAATATCCGGGCAACAATATATTTATTATTTCGTTAACAGAAATTCAACTTTGACTTTCTTCCCTTTAAATTCAATTTTCATTAGAAATTTTCGATTAGCCTTGGTCGATACGATATAAAAGTAGAAAAGTTGGAGTCATGACGGTAGAACAAACAGAGGAGGGAGAGGAGGATCGTCGTGTTCGGTGAGATACGTTTATCTTACGTTCTACGTTGATCTTTCGTTTAATTTTCCATGTTATGATTCTATCTTTTCGATCTATCTTCATCCACTCCCTTCAAATTCCCGATATATAATACCCTATAAATTAATTTTTCACCATCGATCCAGAGAAAGTCACACAAATTAAATTTCACGTTCGATCCAACTTCAATTCCAACGATTAATTTCGATATAAATAAATTCTCCATTTCCACTTTCAAATTCTTCTTTAATATTCAAAGTGAAACGACGAAGGAGCGATCGAAAGAAAAATTAGTTTTTTAGGGCTTCGACCGGTTTTGACTTTCGTTCGTTCGAAAAATTAATCCATAATAAGCGATTTCCTCTTTTCCTTCGGTCTAAATAATTCGATTTGAACGATCACCGAGATTCCCGATGCATCAACGCATCGAGCACAGCATGGAGCATCTACTCTCGTCGTTTACTACTCGTCGTCGATACTCGAACGCGGCCTATCTCGACCCTAATGGATAATTTCCATCCCACCCCCTCGAAACTTTGCACGAAAAAGGCGTACAGGGCCGATACAGGCTCGTTGCCATCCACGATTGCCTCGATCAGAAATCAATAGACGCGTCTAGAGCGTCTCTGCACGTGTCAATCGAGAATTTCATCCCCGGTTTTTCACGTTTTGTGCGTTGACACGCGATTTCGAACCCCCCTCTTCGAGTACCGTCCCCGCGAGATTCACGATACAAAAAGATAAAATTAATTTCTAAGCCTAATTCCAATTCTAACATCAATCGATATAAAACTCAACGAGATCCAAAAATAATTATACACACTGACGACGACACCTGTGTTGAACGTACGCTTAAAAAAAAATCTTTCTCAGAAATGGAGTTACATCTCCGAAAAAATTCTAATTCTTTCTCCTCTTCAAATTTCTCCCTCTTCGCCCCTTTTAGCTCGACTCATCTTCTCGATAATGGAGAACAACGATATACTTTCCCTCCAACTAATTCCTCGAATCTCACCTTATCCCCGTACCTTTTCATATCGTCGTTCGGGGGAGGGACGTCCAACAACCATTCCAACACGTACCGTCCCCCCAACGTGAATCCACGCGATGGTTTCCCATCGATAAAGCGTGAAATGAGAATCACTGAGGTGTTCGGGCCCGGAGAGTGTTGGCACAGTGCTCGTGATCGATTACTCGTCATCCGCGCGCGATGTCCCGAGTTCGACGCCCACACCAACCACCCACCCCCTCTGCCAAACCAAACGTACTTCTTCCCCTTTTTTCCTCCCCCCCGATCCTCCTCCTCCTCCTACTCGTTGTCTCCTGCCTCCCTTTCCACTTCCCTGTTCCACCTCCACCACCACCACCACCACCACGATACGATACGATCACGCTCCTCTCTCCTCGCTCATCACGCTGCACATCCACACACGTTTGCATCGACCATGGCCAACGCACGCACACGTGGATGGATGGACGTTTCGCGCACAACCAACGCGCCTTTCTCTTCCTTTTCTCTTCCTCCGCTTCCTTCGGTGGAGGAGGGTGGTGGCGAAGGGGTTGTTCTCGCCGGAAGGAAGGGGGGACCGTAGGCGTAAAAAGAGTTGGGGGAGGGGAGGGGAGGAGGAAGGGAGGAGTCGATCTCTGCCAAATCAAACTTAAGCCTCCCTTATCTCCCCATCTTTCGTTCGATGCCGGACATTCGGAATATGGTTCGCCCTCGGTATTCGAGGAGTATCGATCGTAGGTGACTGGTCGCCGGCTACCACCTTCCCTCGATTTCCACACTTTTCGAACAGTTGTCTGTCCTCTCTTTCTCTCTCGTGTTTCTTCAACCAAAATTTCAAGTTTTTAAAATTATTTTCTCGATTGGATTATCGGGGGTCGTATCGAAATGCTGTGATCGAATGCTGGTATTTTCATTCGTGTTGCGTTCGTTGTCGTGAAAATTATGATATTTAAATTATCCGTGACGAAATACGTAAGTGAATAAATTTGGATAAAGGCAAATTTTGGATTTGAAATACTTTAGATAATCAAAGTGTGCCAATGAAAGAATTTTCATCGTTGTGTATCGTATATGTATATATATCTTGTTGGTAAAAATTGTACTATTATTTCATAATGCTTACGTATTTGTTGAAATAAAAGAGGTATAGTGAAGAGATAGATAGACAGATGGCGGCTAATGGGTCAGGAAATAATAATCAAATAATTATTGGCAAAATTTGTGATGCAATTTCAATTGAATGGATACGAAGGGATAGTAGGAAAACAAATACGTTTCTCCTTTAATACGATCGATTTCAATGGATATATAATCGATATTAAGCCGATCATTCGCGTGTTGCTTTTTTTTTTTGTTCGAGATTAAAATATAGAGGAATTAAAAAACAGTGAATACGCTTGGAAAAAAGGGAGAGAGAAAGGAATATGAAATGGAATATGAAAGTTTTATCGAAAACCGCATATTTCTATCATAAATATACATACACACATACATATATATATATATATATCTTTACCTTAATTAAAACGTAGGATAATAAACAAAATGTCGAGCAAATAAAACCGAATATGGGAATTAAAATTGTGCAAATGATGATCCAATGTGCGTTCTTAATTTACATCCGCGGTTTTCGAAATTATTTTATATATATATATGTAACCGGATGAACGCGAAGATAATTTAATTCCATGAAAGAAAGGTTCGAAATTCGAATACGTATTCGAATACAAAAAGTATTGTTCAATTTTACTCTATATTCTCAAAGAAGGACTATTATATAATATTTAAACGATTATCCTCCTTTCTTTTACAAAATTTATTATCACGAAATTATATTCGATCTCTTTAACGAGCGATTTTAATCTATTATCATCATTTTTTGGCGAAATCTTTTTCAAACAAACGACAGAAGGAATATATATAATTTAAATCAATTTCACACGATCTCGCATTTGAAGCTACCAATCATGTTAATGCACGCGAATCGAGCACGACTGCAGCGAAGATCAATTTAATCATTTCAATCATACGAACTTGATTGACGTAATAATACGTAATAACGGTAGCGTAATAAATTATATTAATTGAAATTAAATAACGAAAATTACCACCGATCTTAATTGAAATTTATCTCTGAAAAAAAAAAAAAATATTCGAAACGATCTTTCGTGTATTACACACACCAGAAAAATTCAAAGAAAAATTCATTTTACTTTTCTTCGCTGCTCGATCGTCACCCCCTTTGAAACCAACCCCTCGATCCTTTGTCACTTTCAACCAAAGTTGCGAAACGCGAAATCGATCGAAATCGAGGAATTACTTCGTTAAGTTTTGAACAACTTTATCTGATGAGGACGGTGATTCAAATTACACGTTTTCGAAAAAAGATGGCAGATTGGCCGGTTCTCATTGTCTTAGCCCTGCTCCCATATAATAAGGCCGCTATCTGTCCATTAATCTAGACACGGTTCGGGCACAGTACACGTCCTCCCCCAGGATACACAAACCCCCCTTTCTTTCCCCCGCCTGGCTATTATCGAGGCGAAAGAGAACGGGGTTGGGAGGGGCAGGGAATAAGCCTAGCACGAGGACGAACAACGCCAAACCGTTGCCAATTCTCCATTGTCCTTGGCAATCGGCCATTCTACCCTTTCACCTCGCAACCCTCGCAACACCGGACATCTTATCCTCTTTTTCCCCTTCTTCTTCTTCTTCTTTTTTGCAACTATCCAGACTATCGAGGAACCTGAGATTTACTCGAAACGAAAAAACGATGACGGAATGGAACGATTTTAATCGTAATTTCAGATTTTTGGGGAAAATTTTAATGAAAGTGGACGCGTCGAAATGAAATGAAATATTCGAAATATCCGTCAACGGAACGAGTGGAAAAATATTATCGTAATATCATCGTTCTCTCGAGATTTTTTTTTCTCGGGTTTTATCCATGGTTCCTAGATTTTATTATGAAAGATCGTATGTTTCAATCAACTTGAAATTCACGTACGTGTACGACACGCGTAACGCGTTAATCGTACACATCTTTCCTTTGTTGCAATATATTTTCATTCGTTTATTTTGTTCGAGATGATTATACAATATACACGGATCGTGAATGAAAATGTGAAAATAGAAAATGTGAAAGAGAGGACTCACCGATCAGAAGGAGCAATGATACGGTCGAGTCCATTCCCAAAGCCGAAACTCGTCGAAACGCGATCAATTCAACGCATTCTCGGAACATTCCTGCAACAAGAATTATGATTTTTTGGTTGGTTACGAGTCGAGACAGGAAAGGTGGATTTGGATACGTGTTTTTGCTGGCACGTGTTTCTTGTCGATGTCGCAGATCGGATGGAAACACGTTTTCGAACGATTAATTGGGGATAGAGGGTTGAGGTAGTGGTTGATGCATCGATGTTTAAAGGGTGAATGTACGTATATACATATATATATGCGTCCATTACCTTCCTCGACGATCGCATAAATTTATCCTTTCAGAAGTTTCAAATAACATTGATCTTTCATTCGAAGTTAGTTCGATTTAAAATTTGATCAAATTTGAACGATAAACAATTGTAAAAGATAATTTTGATAGATAATAATTTTAAACAATTTAAAATTTATATTAATAATAATTTTATAATTTTATTTATTTATAATAATAATTTTAACAATTGTAAAGATAATTTTGAAGACAAGATCGTGTCCCGTAATTTTAATCAACTTTCGTTCGTCATGTGACAAATTTGACCAGAAAGATAATCGACTATTTCAAAAATTTCTCTCCATATTTTTAAAAATTTTTATCTCATCGTCCTACTATTGTAATTATTGTTTTATTTTATTTTATTTTATTGCTATACGCATATAACCATGGGATAATCACTTTAAGTTAATTTCGTTGATACAACTGCACGGATGTTCTCAAAACCACAAAGGGAAGCATCATGCACGTGTACATAATTATCCCTAATATAAACTCATTAACATGTACCAAAAGCAGGTGAATGGCAGGTTAATATCTCGCTCAAAATATGCCATGTAATCTCACGCGTGCACGCGTACACGGATACGCGCATACATTTCACACTTTTACGTCCACAGATTCCTCGCAACACCAATTTCCAAAATAATTAACGACGATTCGAAGCCAGGGCCCAGGGGGAGCATCGATCGAGCATCGTTTTCTTCAATAATACATAATTTCCAATCTTCATCGCAAACAACCCCCGAGCAGATTTCCAGCAGAAACTTTCGTGGAAAGCAAACATGCTTCATCAGTTTGCAATAATAGTTTGTCCAAGAAGGAAAAATATGTGGAAAAATATGTTTATCACGCTAATATTATCGATACATATATATATATACATCTTGAAAATTGAATATTCAAATAATTTAACTTTCTTCGATGAAAAACTTTCTCTTCATATAAATTATTTAATTATTTGATTCTATAAATATTAAATGCCTAGAATTTTTTTCGCGAAAATATTTGAAATATTTTAAATATAAATTATTTGATTCTAAATATTAAATGCCTAGATTTTTGTTTCTCAATCGCCAAAGTATCTTATTTTTACTTTATTTTACTTTAATATGACATATGGACTAATGGAAATAATCTCGCGAAAATATTTTAAATACAAATTATTTGATTCTAAATATTAAATGCCTAGAATTTTGTTATTCGATCGCCAAAATATCTTACCTTTACTTTACTTTACTTTAATACGACATATGGAATAATGGGAATAATCTCGCGAAAATATTTGAAATATTTTTGAAAAAAGAGAAAAAGAAGGAAAGCTTCGTTTTTAAACATCCCTATTCTGCGGCCTGCACCATCCTCGTTTCGACGGATTTTACGGAAGCGTTAACAGGCCGGCTACGCTCGAGAATCAAGCCGAATTAGCATGCTGCCTACGCATCTGTTGACCATTAATCAATTAGCGCGATTCCGCGTGCGTGCGCGCACGCGATGTAACGATAGAGCGTATCCCCGATGGCGTAAAATTTCGGTTAAATGGCGCTTGTTCGCGTCCCGCGCGTGTTAAATGATCACGTCGAAAACCGCGGCGAGAGTAAAGTTTAATAACGGCACGGTCGGCCATGGTGGCCACGCGAAATTATTCTCTTTATGGTGTGTCGCGTGTGTATCGGGTGTGTATCGCGGTCGACCATGGTAAAGGATAACGTACAATGTTTTCGGGAATTTTGGTTGGAATATTGCACGTGAAATGCCGGTTAACGGTTCGCCAAGTATTACGAGATGCCAAGTTTCGAGATAAAATATATTTATCGAAGGTGAGAAGGATATCGTTCGAAAGGGGAGGAAACGAAATTTGGACGATCTTGGGTGGGACGAAGGGGTTTAGGATTAGAGAATTGGGGGAAAGGGATCATTCGTGATCGTCGAATGTTTCGAAAAATTAAGATTTCCAAGCTCTGATAAGATATTTTGGTATTCCTCCTTGATTTGCGATCCAAAATCAGGAATCTAAGATTTAAAGTCCCTGATTTAGGGGCCTAGATTCAGAATTCAGAGGTGGGTCAAGATTTGAAGTTTGTGGTCTAGGAATCAAGAATTTAGAATTTAAAATTTAGAAGAGTACAAGATTTGAAAACCAGTCTAAGAATTAGAATTCCAAGATTTGGAGTTCAAGATCTAGGAATCAATACATACAGGGTTTCAGACTAAGCGTTTAAGATTTAGAATTCACAGTCTAGGAATTAGGATTCCAAGATTTCCAAAAATGCAAAATTTAGAATTCGAGATTTAGAATCCAGAATTTAAGATACAGAATTTGAAGTTCCAAGATTCAAATTTTTAACACAGAATTTATAGATTCTAGGATCCAGAATTTGAATTATAGAGTCCACGAAATCTAAAATCCAAGGATCGAGATGTTTATTCTCTGAAATCCACTTGTACCTTTGAACACAATTCAATATCTAAATTCGATGATTCGAAATCAAGATTTGAATTAAAAATCATAATGGAATAATTTTCTGATGGAAGAAATGCCAGATGTATTTTTTCGATATCCCGAGAAACGAATAAAGCCAGGTATAAAGTGGAGGTAAGGAAATTTCTATTCGAGGATCATTTTGATCCGACGTTTGGAATTGAAACGTATTAGACTGAACGTGGATACACGTATAAACCGGTCGATAAGCGATAAGATTGATGGTAGTGCGGTTAAGATATTCATTTATTTCTGAAGAGTGACACGCTATTTTTCAGTACGCTCTTCGACGAGCGTAATACATTTATCTTAATATTTCATGCTGTCCGAAATAGCGAGAACAGCGTGTGGTGTATCTCTGTACGTGTGTATGTATAATGGGACGAATGTAACTGCTGGCAGTAATGTTGGCAATAAAAAGAATTATAGGACGTGTATATTTCTTTCTTCTTCTTCTTCCATTCGTTCTATTCATGGATAAATCTAGCAGATATCTATATTGTATAATTGTAACTATAATGTAATCGAACACATGTGAAATTTTCTCGACTAGGGAAGTAGGGATATCCGTTTTAATTTAAAAAATTTTTTTTTCTTATTTAATCAAAATAGAATACACGTTTCGTTTCAACCTTGACAATTGCATTTTAAATTTCGTTATTAAATTTGGAAATCAAAGTATTTAAATATTCAAACGTCTGCTACTTGTCATTATGCAAACAAGGAGTGCAAGAAGATCAAGATAAATACACTTGGACCCTTTCACTGTTTCTCATTGAAGGAAGTGGAAATAAATACTCCTAGGTATATAATCAGAGAAACAAATCTACAAATGGTCAGAAGCAATTATCAAAGTTTACGAAATACTCTCGTTCTTCGCTTTTTTTTTTTACATCAAAGGAAATTAAAGGCAAACATTGGGTTGGGAAACATGGAGTTATAAATATTAATTTTTCATTAAATGGAAGCCCAACGAGAGCCCCTCAACGTAACAACACTTTAATAAAATTTCACAGTCAAAAATATTACCTTCCTATCTTTCATCCGTCTCCTATAACATCAAATAATTAACTAGAATAAAAATAACCTTAAATGAAACTTGAAATTAACTTTTCCTTTATCAAACTTTTTTTCATAAACATCAGAACACACCACCCACTCTCTCTGCCCCATCATTCTCCAAGTATCAAATAAAATGAAATAAAAATAACCACCCCTTACAATCACAAACTTCTACTTTAACAAACATCAAAATCATCCCCTATGATGAATAAAAATAATTTACAACGATTAAATTGAATACACTATCCTCTGTCTTTCTCCTGTAATTTAAATCACAAATTTTAATTCTACTTTATCAAATTTCCTTTCGAAACAAACACCACCCTTTCATTATCCCTTAAAAAAAGAAAATTCGCCAATCATTGAAAAATTATTTTCTCAATTTCTTTCTTTTTTTTTTGCAAAGAAGACAAAACTCGACAAAACTCGAAACATCCAAACAAGTTGAATCTCGTTCGAGTCGCGATACAAGTTTTTGAAAACACAGTGGATGATTTCAACAACGACCACGAGAACTATGTCTCCGCGTCGCGGTTCACAGGGGTTGGAAAAGGGACAAGAATGACCGACCTCGAGCGTACATTTCGTGGACGGGGCAGAAAGGCAAGGGGATAGTTCGGACAGGGATGCTGGAGAACCGGAACCGCGGTCATTTTTCACCGCGCGGACGTCCGTTTCCGGTGCCCGATCGCGGCGAAATACAAACAAAAATGGCGCAGGAAATATGTAGCGAGCGAACGTGAGGGGGCCGAGATATCTTGTTCCTTTTTTAAATTTTTTCTTTATTTTTTCATTTCGCCGCCACGAAATGCGAACAAATTTTTGTGAATACGAAAACTATTAATTCCTTATATATATTATTCTCCGTATTAGAAAGAGAATTACGTAAAATTTAGAAAGCTAATTTCTATTTTGATATTTCCGAATATATATTTGATTATTCGTTTTATATTTATATTACATTATATTCGAATTATATTTGATAGATTCGTTTGTTTCGGAATTCATCGAGTTGAAATTGAAATTATCTCGGATATTTTGAACGGGGGGTGAGAATTGGATCGAGAACGATGGATCATCGGGATTATAATATACTTTTCCTTATTGTGCAACGCGAAACTTTTTTTTGAAATTTAAACGCAATAACAACGATACGGCCTGTCAATAACCGTTCCCTGACAATTTCATCGGGAGCGAGTTCTCGTTACGTGCTACTATTCGATACTCGAGCGGAGTCTGTGTTTCCTGCTGGCTTTGCAATTTACGTTTCCACGTAGCCGTGAATACAAATTGGTTTGATCGATACACGGATAGTTAGCCGGTGGATCATTGTCGAGTTTAAGGATAGATCTCGTTGTATTTTTCTTTTTCACAAAACTTTCTTATCAAGTGAAAATATGATTGAAAAAATGTATCGTGTATAAAGACTATAAGATTATTGTTTTCCTTTCTTTCTATCTTCCACCAAATACCGATAAAGATTAAAGATTATTAATCACAATTAATAAAGATATTTGATAAAAGAGATAACACTAAAAGTAACACTATTATCACGAATAATCAAATAATCATCGAATTGATTAACCAAAGATTCGACAACGACTTCCACGACTTTCCTCCCTAATCCTCCCAACCCCTCAAAAATCAAACACATTCCAAACAATCTCTCCCCGTTAAATCGCGCCAAGTCCCATCCAATCCACCGATTCAACTCCCCCCACTAATCCTCCTCCCCTACAAACTCTCCATAACCATTAAACCACGCTCTCCCCCTCGTGGAAACAGAGACGCGTCTCAAAACAAACTTGTAGAAAAAAAAAAAAAAGAAAAAAGAAAAGAGAAAAATTCCACGCGGGACAGGAAACGAAAGCAGTTACGAAACCGACCACAGAGAAAAAACACAAGAGGAAGATGGACGGGGAAGGGGCGAAAGAATACAGAAGGGAGGGACAAAAAAAAAAAGAAAAAATTATTAAAGGTCCCGATGATGTACATGGAGGAGGATGTACGTACGTGCATCAGGCTCGGGATCAACCGTTTACAGCATCGCATGAATGCATTATTATGCCTGAAACCCGACCCCAACCATCGCGGTGAGTAACCATAGACACGCGTGAACGGATTTGCGTTCGATCATCGTGGCCAAGGGGGAAAAAAGGTTTTCTTTTTTTTTTTCAAAAAACCACTCCCACTACGTCTGTCACTTTGCGCCGACGTTTGATGCTTTTTACTCCCCCCCGTGTACTCTTCTTGTACGTAGATGCGTGTATATATCTTCTCTTCGTGTATTCTCCACCCCCTCTCCCTGTAACGTTTCAAAGCTTTTTGCCCTGCGGTGAAAAGAAAGTCGGGGGAGGGAAGGGCACCGCGTGGATGGGAAACAGGCAGCTACTACTACGACGACTACGACGACGACTACGACGACGACGACGACGACGATGGCGACGACGAGGAGGAGAGAAATCGTGTCGTGGTCGTGTTTATCGTGTTGGTCGTTTTTACAGGGAGAGAGGTAACTCGCCTATACCGGGCTGTATATACGTTCGTTACAACGTCGAGTAAGGAAGGGAGAAGGGGATATATATATATATTTTTTCGTTGATATTCGATTCGAAATGGAAAAGGGAGCCTTTCAGGGGCTGCTTCTTTTCTTTCCCTTTCTCTTTTCTCTTTTTTTTTTTTTTTTTTTTTTAAGAGAGAAGTTCGATTCGAGCGGTTGAAAGGGGGATACGTTGAAGGGGGAAGTTGGACCGTGTTGGACGCGGTTTGAAGAAGTTTCTTTCTTGGAATTTTTTGACTATGAGGATAGTTCGAAGTTCTTTTCTTTTTTTTTTTTTTTTTTTTTNTTTTTTTTTTTTTTTTTTTTTTTTTTTTTTTTCTTTTTTTTCTGTTTTGCTATGGCACGATTGGGGAGGAAGGATTTGGTTTGCCGATGTTTTTACTGCCGATTCGATCGAGTTTTTCTTTTATTTTTCTTCCCGATTCCATCTATTTTACAAAGGGAACGAGAAGAGTTCGATAACCTTAAACTTTAAATTTCTTTCTCGATTAAAACTTGAGGGAATCGAGGAACTTCGAAATTGAGGAAGGTAGAATAATCTTTATATTTTTCCACTGTTACTCGTCATCGAAGGGAAATACGACTTGTACAGCTTCTCGATCAGGAAATTTTTTTTTTTTATTTACGCTCCATTTGCTCATTTTGACTTAATCTTCTCCCCTCATTAATATCGGTTCCTTGATTTCCTCTCAACATTTCTCTCCTCACCCCCTTCATCCCCATCCGAAAAAAAATCCACCGCGCATCCTCGAAATTACACGTCTGGACGCCGAAGGATCCCCGCTTAAGGGATCCTCTCCTCCCCTCCCCTCTCCTCTTTCTGATAATGAAAACCATTATTGCGGCGAATATCGAAAGGATTTGCGGGCGAATCGGGGTCGGGGTTTAATCGGTGGAAAATCTACTTTGGCAGAAAATTACGATATCGAATTGATTGGCGCTTTAACAAGATCGTTGGAAATCGCCGAAGATCCGAGAAGAGAGATTCGCCCTTCGCCCTTTTGTCCGCGAGGACACGAGTTTCTCTGAATCGGTTATATATATATGTATATACCGAAAGCTCGCCTCCTCTCTCACCTGTTGAGCATCACCGCCGAAAGAAAGTTGGCCGCGTCGATAACGGCGAGGAATAAGGAGAAAAGGAGGGTCTCGCGGCTGGTTGCGCGCGAATAATGGGTCAGAGACTCGGTCACGCGCCTCTCTCTTTCCCTTTGTCTCTTCTTTCTTTTTCCAGGGATGCGTTTCTCGATGTTTCGCCCCCTCCTTTTAGAGAGTCGCACGAAGGATTGCTTTATTCCGAGTTTAAAAGAGGAAAGTTTAACATTTGGGAGGGGAGGGAGTTTGTAATTGCGGATATCGCGATGAATCTGGGGACGAGTTTCGAGGAAATGACCTTTATCTATCTTGTATCTTGAAATATTACGCGTAATATTTATCGAATAAAAATATCGTCGCTGTGTTAGGTAGCACTTTTGTCGAGTATAATTTGGTGTAGTTGTAAATAAAATTTTGAGGTAGCGTTAAATTAATCGTTGGGAAATATATATTGTTGAATTAATTGAACGCAAATTTTCACGATGTGCAAATAAATAATCCGTATATTTTACACGAGCCAAATTTGAGGATAAACAACATTTAAAAAGATTGGAAAAATATTTGTAGTATTTTTCCGCGCAGATCGATAACACACGCTCGCAAAAACAAACGAAATAAAATTGTTAATACATTCGACAAATATATGTATATCGCGTATCTTTTACCGAATAAAAGATATTTTTTTTTTTTTTTTATATCTTTTTAATCAAAATTCTTGCCGATATTTCTTTGATTCTTCGATCAAAAGATTGTAAAAATTTTTCTGAATATCTAATTGTATTATATATTACAATAATATGTGGATATATATTATATTATATTATATATTATATATAAAATTTTATTGTTCTCGTTTTTGAGAAAATCAAGTATAATTTTTAAACGAAATAAAATTAATTTCAACGCTTTTTCCTTATTTTCACGTTCAACATTTTATCGATAATTCAATCTTATTTCACTTATAAAATCTTACGAAACTTTTTACAAATTTGATCTTCTCAAAAACCAATGCGTATGAAAAAAATTTCATCCTATACACTATCTCTCTTTTTTCTCAAAAAATAACTCACCAAATTTCGTACGTCCATCTCCATACCCTTAATCACGAAACTTTACACGCTTCTAACAAACTAAATACGATAAACGAGTCGAACTTTCTTCGCCATCCATCCATCGATCCACGAAACGCGTGCGAAAAATTCCCCCTTTTTTAATTTAACCCTTATTAAAAAAACGCTTATTCGAAACGGTATTAATAATCAAAAGTTTCCCGATACGATCCACTCGCCACGGCTGAATACGATCAACTGGCAAGGAAAGTGCGTAGAAGGGCACGGTCGTGGAACGAAACTTGTCTAAATGTAAACACAATAAGCCTCGGGTGGGGGACACGAGTCACGTAACGGCGATGTAAACAAGCGGTAACGCCGGCAGCGACCCATTATGAAATCCAATAACGCGAGTTAAGACGTAGTTACGCGACGAACAACAAACGAAACGCTTCTCGTACCGTTTACGTGCGAAAGTCGATGGTCGAATCGACTTGATATTAACGGACTGCGAGGAGAAGAAGATTGGACGCAATGGAGATTACACGTTTAATCGCGAGGTGGAAGTTTTTAAGGATTTTTAAGGTAAGAGTTTTTTTTCTACGAAAATTTCGATGTAATTTTTTTTGTAATTGGTTTTTAATTTTGGGGGGAGGGGAGAAAGAAGGAATATTCGAGTGTGAACGTTGAAATTTTATCGTGTAACGAGAAACTGTAACTTTTAAAATAGGAATTTTTTGTGAGGAGAGAAATTTTAGATTTTTTTTAGATTTTAAATGGAGAAGAAAGGATATTTGATCACGAAGAAGATTAATTGAAATTTTGTAGTAATGAAAACTTTTAAAAATAAGAATCTTTTTTGCGATGGAGAGAAATTTTGAATTTTTTGAACATCGTAATTTTTTTTAATTGGGGGAAAAGAGATGTTTAATTGTGGAAATTTTATAATAATTTTTAAGAGAAATTTTAAATTTTTGTAATTAATACTTTTTTTGCAAAAGAGATATATAATTGTATAGAAAGGATGGAAATTTTGTAATAATGAATTTTGTACGTTATAATTTTAAATTAATTTTTAAGTTTGTTAAGAACACAAATTTTTTAATAATAAAAATTCTTAAAATATGATATATAATATCCTTTCTGAGATAGAGAAAAATTTTGCAACGTTGCAACTTTTTTGCAATTAATTCTTCAAAATCTCGTATAGGTTAGAAAAGTTAATAAAGAATTGTGTCTCATCACAATTTTTAAATCCTTTCTTTCCTTTCTTGCGAACCAATCGTTTAATCTTCAAATTCCACGTGCATCCGAGTCAAAAGTTTTCGAAGTTTACAACGCTTTCTCTCTTTTATCTAGACAAGTAAAAAGCTGGAAAACTCTCACGAGTTTACGAGATTGATAACTGTAATCCCGTTGATAAAACTATTTCTGCAATTTAGATAAAATTTAATCACGAGTTTATCCCTTAACGTCTCTCGAACGTAACAAAATCGCGTTCTTCAACTTTCGTTGCAGAATTCAATCGATCGCGATAAACCTTGAATATTTTCAAAGAAATTTTTTTCCAATATATGCGTCTAAATAACAATTTCTTTATTATTCGAAAAGCAAAATCTTGAATTTTTCAAGATCAAAAACTCAAATCATAACATCTTAAAAAATATTCTAATATTCTCAACGATACAATACATATACAAACTCAGAAAAAAAAATCCATATTCTACTTAACACATTCTCAGCAACACACGCTTAACTGTGAAAATTAAATAACCACGAAGAAAACTAGTTTCTCGCATTAACCACAGAATCCAATTCGCGTCGAAATTTCTAATGTTTATGACAAGAGAGGGAAACAGAAATCGAGTGAAACGGCTAGTTACAGGTCGAAACAGAGGAGACAAAGGGGGGAGGGAGGGAGGGAGATAGCTGGAAAAGAGGAAACTGGAGGAGCTCGTTAAAGTGGTCGTCGAAACGACACCACCCGTTCCTCTCTTCACCGTTGTCGTCTGTCACGATGCACGGAGTCGATGGTCGGTAAATTGGAAAGAGGCGACGAAAAAGAGAGAAAAAAAAAAAGAAAAAAGAAAAAAAAAGAACCTCGATCTGGCGCACTCGTGGCATCTGATAAGGCAAGGCTATTCAATTAGTGTCCCGTGAACCCGTGTCGATCGATGAACGCCGTTATAAATACTGTGTAGAAGGATATAAAAGAGGAGGAGGAGGAGGAGGAGGAAATGGAAAATGGTCAGAGATGTGTATCGAAGGGGTGAATGGTGAAAGAGAGAGAGAGAGAGAGAGAGAGATATTTTTGAGGAAACGCGATGATTGAAAAGAGGGATTTTGGAAAATGATTTTGGAGTGGAGTGGATGAGGATCTACGAGGATTTCTCTCGCGAAGGCGAACAGGATGTTGGCAAGAGATAAAAATATTTTGTTATTCCGTGTATCGAGATTTGAGGGAAATTTCACTAGTTTCAAAAATTTGATCAATGTGATGATTTAATATGATTTTTCAATTCGAATTATCTTCAAAAAGTTTAATCGAGATATCTTAAAACAAAATTACGTATCGAAAATTCGATGGTTCGGTTTTGCTTCAACAACTTGTAATTTGAGAAATATCGAAGAATATTCTGCTTAACCTCTGTTCAAGAAATACAAGCAACCTTAAAAACAAACGATATTTCAACGATTAAAGAGTAACTGATAATCAAGATAATCCCTGTATAATTTTATCTTGAATTATTTATCAAAACTTCTCCAACGAAATTCTAAATATAAACGTATATAAATCGAGGAAAATGGAATGGTAACATCTCGTGAAAACGTAATAAATGGCGGATATAAGACCGCGAACACCCGGCCAATCTCCGCTTCCTTCTCTCCATTTCCATCCCCTTCTCGCCTAATGAATCCTTCTCCCCCCTCCCTTCCCCACCCTCATTTCCCACCCGATCGCTACCGCAAAATGCAGAATTTATCTTCTTGGACGGTTCATCTTCGATTCCGTCATAGGATTGGACACTTGGAAGGGACTTGGAGAGCCTGCTTAATGAGTAGCCCAACCCCTCCAAATGTGCAAATTCCCCCAGAGGTTGGGGGAACTTCCTGACCGCGGAAAAATCGCACCCACCAAGAGGGTGGTTTGTTCTTTGGAACCCATCGTGGGATCTCTGTTCGAATCGTGGAGCCTCTCTGGTAAAGGGAATTAATTCAAAGGTTGAAGGTGAAATGTGGGCGAGAATGAAGAGGAGACAGGGGATGGGATTCCGTGAATTTCTGTTTTTTAATAGTACTTTTAAATGGCATTTTAAAGAGGTTAAAGGGATATTGATGACAATAGCGATGAAGAAGAAGCGATGAAGTTATGAATGAACGAATGCTAAATTTTAAGGGTTGGATTCCGTGAATTTGTGTTTTTAATAGTATTTTTAAATGTTGGTTAAAATTGATGACAGTAATGGACGTTTGGGTGAAGTTATATTTTTTTATGAATATCGTTGAATATTGCAGAATATTTTATTTATAATAATTAATATCTGAAGAGATTTGATATTCGATTTAAAATTAAAGAGGATCCGTTAATTTGATATCATTTTGATATTCGGGATAAGAAAATGGTTGAAATTGTTGATCCAAATGTACAAAGTGAGAAAGTTGTGTTACAAGTTGATAGAGGAAGGTACTATTAAAGGGGCGATAATGTAGAACTGAAATGCAAAATCCTTGCTCTTGCTTGTCCTGTCTCGATTCGACTATCCAACTTCAACGAAGTTTGCCTTGTCTGACTCGGGTGACTGGATTACTCCACTGAAAACCGGATTAATTCGTTTTCCTTGTAAGCGTTTCCCTGTCGCTTCGCTTTTATCAAAAATCTATTATTAAAGGATTCCCGTGGGAAGGGAACCAAAGTTTAAAACGATTCGAAATTTCTCCTTTCGAACGATCGCCGCGAAGAATCAAGGAATAATTACAATTTAAAAAAAAAAAAAAACATTCTGAGAGAATTGGCAATTTGAAAAATTTAAAAAATTTAACACGGAATGGAAAGAGAAAAAAAATCGCACAGGAACGAAATCAGAAAGGAATTCTCTCCGTCGCGAGAAATTATAAAAAAAAAAAAGAAGAAAGAAAGAAAAAAAGAAGGGAGAAAAGAAAACTGTCGCAAAAGAATTAGAAAGAAGAACGAAATTTCGAACAAAAATTCCACCGATTTGGACAGCGCGGATCGATCGATCGGGCGGGTTTCCGTTTCCTGGAGAAATCTCGGTATGGAGGAGGGTAAGTTGGGTGGAAGTTGAATGGCTGAGGGGTAAGACAAGGACGGGCAAGAGTTATGCATTATGATTCGCCGTTCACAGTCCCCCTTCACCCTCCACCGTCAACCTAATAACATCACTTGTTGCACGGGACCCCGTGACCCCTCCCCCCTCCCGTCCAAACCTCGAGTCGAGCGCAAAACTATCGCGCCCCTCTCGCCCACCCAACCCGCTCGCCCAGACGAGGAATGTCCCGTCTGAAGGATGGAGCGGCCGGCCGTCTTATGAATTTCATTTATCTCGGATGAGCATCTTGTGCGCGACGACGCCTCGAGAACACCTTCTTGAACAACGTTTCACGATCCGATGGTGATGGCCGATCATTTGCGTGCGAATTGTTCGAGGCTTTGTTCGATCGAAATTGTGGTGATTTGTTGGATCGAGGGGGAGAGGAGGATAGAGAAGTTCGTGTAAAGGGATTTTGGTTCGATGTTCGGTTTGTGATTTAAGATATTTGAGGGTGGAATTGTTTCATTTACGTGTGTAAGTATGTGAGTATGGTTGTGAAGGGGTTAATTGGATTTAGATTTTGAGATGTTTATGCTGGTATGGAGGATGAAAGAGGATGTTAAGGATTTTTTGTTGGTAGATTTAATTGGATGTTAGATTTAAATTTGAGATGTTAATTTCAGCTGATGAATTAATAATTGATAATTAATAAGTTGATATGTTAATCGCTTAGGAGAGAGGAGATGTTAATTATTTTTAATATATCTTTTTGGAAGGTGTTGGAGCAGATTAGATAGAAATGTTATTTTCGATTTTTAACAAACAGTGATTGTCCAAAAATAATCTATAAAATAATATATAAAATTTGGAATTTTCAGATCAATA